AGCAATTGTTTTAATAAGAATCCCCAATAAAATAGAAGTCCAAACTGGCTTCACTTACACTTTGGCTACTAAGTTGTTACTCACTTCTCTATTTCCTCACAGTCAGTCACTGTGTTCTAAAGGAACATGAAGTATTTAACTAGTCCAAGAGAAACGTACCAAAGCAGATTAACAAGAACATACAAGGCAGTTCATGGCTTTTGGGATTATCTTTTTTATTGGTATCGATCAAATCACTGGCTCTTCTCCCAAGCTATGCCCCCATCAGAAAACCCATTATAATTACTCTGGGGTTGGGCCAGGTACTTTTTCAGTGCTCACCAGGTGATTCTAATATGAGCTAGGGTTAAAAACCACATGCCAGTGAACAACACTGAGATTATTCAACAGACGACAACAGGGAGATTATTCAAAATAATGTAAGAACAAAAATCTTGGTAATTACATGTAATAAGTGAGCACTTTAAAAATAAGACACAGTATTTAACAATTAACCAGTAAGTCTTGGGCAGTGTTTTATCTGTGGAGGGAGACCAGTAGAGAAAGGAGACCAGAGAGGGAAAGGGGAGGTACTAGTGAATGAATTTGAACAAATTATATTATGTGCGTGTATAGATGTGTCACAATGAATCCCAGAATTATGTTTATTATAACAATAAATTTTTTAATTTTTTTAATCTATGGGGAAACAAATTACAACTAAGAAAAAGCTGAATTTATTAAAGAGAAAATATTAAATTTTTCTAACTGCATACCATACCATATAATTATAAAATATTAGCCTAAATAAAGTATTTATATAACTATACAGCCCTGAATTCTCTACAGGGGCTACATGTTCAATTGTGACTTAAAATAATGATCAAGTTTAAACCGTCTTTTTTTTACACATCATGATAAATACGTACTTTTTACAATGAAGTTCTGTACAGAAATAGATTTGGAAATCGTCAGAATTGTGAAGCACATAAAGAAAACAGCATCGTTCTTCAAATTTAGAAATACTGAAACAACAACAGAATAGCATTATTCAGGGAATCAGTAATACTTTCATGGAACT